GAGTGAAACTCCGTCTCAAAAAAAAAAATAAAAAAAAAAAAATAAAAAAAAAATTCAACCTAATGCTTTTGAGATTCATGCATGATATTGGATAAATTGGGAAAATGTTCTTGAATTCCTGGGGTAAATTTGTGTTGTTCTCATTCATTGCTGCAATCAATTTGCAATAGTTAGAGCAGAGTTAATCTGTTCACATTCATGAGTTTAACTTGTAATTTTTATTTCTCATACTATTCTTTTCTGGTTTTGGTATCAAAAAGAAACTCTCCTCAATAATTAAGTTGAAGAATATACTGTAAAAGAGTTTCTGTAATATGGAAATTTTCTTTTACTGAATACTTAGAACTTGCACATAAAAAGATCTGGGCCTTGTGGTTTCTTCATAAAGGAGATGATTAAGCATGTAATTACATTATTTGGTGATCTATTTACAAATGTTTTGGAAAATCCTTCACTTTGTGATTCTCCCCTGGTGTCATAACACAGCAATCAACACAGAAGACTACTGTGACCACAAAATGTGTGGGAATTTCTCCCCACCAGCGAGGGAGCAATCAGTTCTGTAGCAGACATAAGCTGGGTGTCCTCCAATTCAGTTCCATTTCTGTCTACCTGGACATAACCTCAGATCCCCCATGGTGAGGACTTAATTCCACAAAACCTCCTTCTTGCCTGTTCCAAGTCTGGGTCTCTGGAACTTTCGACTGAATGGCTTTAACTTTGGATTCCCATAACCTCCTCTTTGGGTTGGGTTACTTTGCTCGAATGGCTCACAGAACTTGGAGAAATACTCATTATGTTTATCGGTTTATTACAAAGGATAGTTTAAAGAGCACGAATAAACAGGCTGATGAAGAGATACGTAGGGTGAGGTCTGGATGGGCCCCAAATGCAGGAGCTTCTGTTCTGTCCATCTGGAGTGGGAGAGGTCCATCTTCTTGGCTCATGGATGCATTCTTGTTTACCTTTCCGTCAGTCTCCATGTGCTTAGCTATCAGGAAGCTCTTTAAATCCTGTCCTCTTAGGATTTATGAAAGCTTCATTACATAGGCATGATTGATTGAACCATTGGCCATTGGTGATTAATTTGACCTTCATCTCTTCTCCCTGGAGGTTAGGGGTGGGGCTGAAAGCCTCATCTCCCTACTCTTGCTTTTTTCTGATGATCAGCCCCACCCCGAAACTATCAGCCAACATTAGCATAAAAAAGCACTTTGAAGGCTTCAAGGATTTTAGGAATTGTATACCAGGAAACATGGACAAAGACCAAATATATATTTCACAATATCACAAATATATAAAAATACGCTATGAAATTATCTGAAATCTCTTAACATAGGATCATTCCATTTTTCTAGTATTTCCAAAGTAATTTTGTGGTAATTTTTAATTTTTCACAAATTTGACAAATTTGAATAAAACTTTCAAATTTATTGTCAGCTGAAAGCAGTGATAGTGACATGTGGCTTCTCTGTGATGACCCACACCTTCATCAGAACTTCAAGGTCATCTTGCTACACACCTCGGTAACTTTTGCCACAATACTGATGGCTTTCTCCAATACTTCTGAGTTGACCTAGGGTCTAGCGCACATTGGGCTGTGGAAGTGCTCAGCCCCTGTTGTCTTCTTGAATGCTGGTGCTTTCATAATGAATGAGTCTAAATGAGTCACGTTTTAACACTGAGATAATTGAAAAACAGCCCTGAGATTGAGCATAAAATAATATAGTCAGTGATTAAACAAAATTTATGTATGTATAGTGACAAGAACAAACTACTGAAGTTTACTGTTAATCTGAAAAAAGAATAATTTTGGTCCTGTTATTACTAAATATCATGTTGTTTTGAACCCTTATTTTATAACTTCCATCCTGAGATGTCTTTATTTTTGCCTGTGTTTGGAAGTTAAATGTTTTTGAAGAGGAATAAAAGGTGTTAATTTCTCTGGCTAGCTTGTTGAACAGTCTTTGGAAATTCTGACTCAGTGTACTGAGAGCAGTGTGCTGAATTCACATCCTCAGCTGGGCAGGAGCGTGCAGAGAGAACTATAGTTCTGATTAAGGGAACCACAATAACCGAGCAAATGAGCTCAAATGAATGGCTTAAATATTGTTTGTGGTTGGCAAATTAGATATACACAGGCAAGAAAAATGTTTCTATACTTTCCTTCCACAATTATGCTCAGTTTGTTGAAATATTTCCCATAAATAAGAGGATTGGGCCTCTCAGACCTGGTTTCTGATTTTGGCAAAATAAATTTGCAAATAACCTTGATTCTAGGGCACACAATTCCAAATCAAAGCTATTTACAGTGTAATTCGGAAGACTGCAATCCAAAATCATGGCTTCTTAGAATTCATCATCCCAAAATGTTAAAGAAAAGAAAAATGCGTTTTCATTTTCTTCTTACAAACTTTTCTTTTAATTGGAAATTCCTAAATCCTTTTAGATATAGCATAGAAAGAAAATAAATAGGAAAAAACTCATTAAAAGAGAAACTGTATCAGTCAGAGTCCTCGCAAAAACAGATGGCACACTCAAATTGGGTAATTTGAGGAGAGTTTAATAAAGAGACTTGTTACAAATGTGTGGGCAGAGCACAGTGGGGGCGCAGTGCTCTGGAGCACCCCGGGCCTGATGGGCAAAGGGCCCAAAAAGCGAACCAAGATCTAGAGCAGGTGCGAGCTGTGTGTTGGGCGTCCATCACCTCCTTGGAACCTGGTTGCTAGTTCATAGGACCCTGACCTCACTCTCCACCCTGCACCATCCTTCTGTTTCTTGTTAGGGCTTCCTGTGGTCTGCACTCAACTGGAAGCCAGAGGCCATGGGATCTGTTCTTATTGATCGCGCTCCCAGAGCACACAGCATCTGTGGACCTAAGGGGCCAGTGGATGGCGCCCGTCAGACTGTTCCGCTGGTCTCTCAGCCTCCACTGCTGTCCTTCATCCAGGTCAGAAGCCCATGTCCTCAACATAGGCAACCCAGAAAATCCCCTCAGCTAGGAGATTATCATGGGGAAATGTCGATATGACGTTCTCCTGCCTAAAGCCTGAAATATTAGCAGCAACCAGGGGCCTGTGTGAGGCAGCAGAGAATGAAAGCAAGGGAGAGCGCTATGCATCGGAGCGCGCGCTATGCGACCTCCGCTGCGCACATCATCACCGTTGTCTTCCTCCAGCCTTTCTGCATTATCTTTACGCTCTGCTAGTCTGCATCTAGCAGGTCCTTTGCCTGGAGGGATGACACACATCTTCTTGCAGCTGGGCCATGAGGTCTAGGGTGTTCAGTCTTCACTAGAGACCACAGTTCTCTACTGACAAAGAATCTCCTGGTTCTGGTGTCCTTAGTCCTCCTTGCCCTCATATCTGATCAGAGAGTAGCTCCTTCTCTGTCTGCTGGTTTGGTGATATCAAGGGTCCAAAAGGGCCCAGAGAAAGTCTCTGCTTCCAAATTTTTGAATCATGACTGTGTTTCTTAGCAAAACATAGTTTGCTTGGGCACAAAACCTCTGAATCTAATAAGGCTGAGATTCTGGAGACTCAAATATTTGTCAAGACTTTTTAGTAACCAGGAGCATGTCTGCCTCCATGGCTCAGTTTTTGAGTCTGGCCGTGAGTGACATTGCACCATGCTTAGCCTCTGGTTAAGGGATCCACTGTGTCCTGTAAGATGGTGCCCAGCCTGGCAGAATACTGTCTTAGCATCTGGGATAAAGGGCAGGCTCTGAGAACGCTGAATTGCACTGCCACACATCCTTCACCAGAGAAAGAGCTTCTGGAACAGATGCAGTGTGGGCAGGACCACAGAAGATAGATGAGACGTTCCGTGGGACTGTGAATGTGGCACTGGCAGAAGTGGACGCGATGGAGACCAATTTCTACCAACAGAGTGTCTGCCCCTGTGAAGAGAAGTCAGTCATCTCTCTTTGAGGAAAGGAGTCCAAGTTAACAACTTGCCATCAGGTTGCAGGCCGGTTGCCCACCTGTGGGAAGTCACACTCTGTGGCTGGTCGATTGCCCACACCACAGCAGGGGTCAGCCACGTGACCGCTGGAGAGGGAGTCCAGGACCCATGACCTTTTTGTACCAAGCAGGTGAGGTGAACCGGGATGTGATAGGTTACTCAACAGTTTTTAAACCTTCAGTGGGAACATTTAGCTTTTAAATTCTCTAGAGAAATGGCATTTTATTTTGGTTGATGGTCTTGGTGAGGCCAGTGGGAAGGGGAGCATTTCCAGGGGCTTCCATCCAGCCTTTTCTACTAGTGTTTAATTTATTGACCGTAAAAAAAAAACAAGGAAACTCTCTCAGTAACTGAGTCTATTAATGAGTCTATTATCTTTACTGTATTTTCAGAGACTGGAGCAGCACCCCAGAGTGAACCCCCAGTCCTTCTTGCTCCACTGTGGGAAGGGCACAGGTCACGAGCGAACCCCCAGTCCTCCTTGCTCCACTGTGGGAAGGG